TTTCTTCCTGAACAAGCATTCATGAAGTTCATTCACATTCCATTATCTATCATGGTATTGTAGTTCACTTGGAATGGACCATATTCAGGAGGCAGTGAGTTTATGATAAACTGCACAAGGAAATTCTTATCCACACTTATCCTTAAGGACTTAAGTCTTGTTGCGATATTTGAAATTTCAATAACATGCTCATGCATGCTGTGAGAACCATCAAACTTCATGGTGGTTAAAGTGGCCATTAATGTCCCAGCAAGAGACTTATCAATAGTTTGAGAATGCTCTTCCACAAATGTCATAAATTCTTTAACACTACTAGTTTTGGGAAGAGTAGACTTTATATTGTTTGCTACGCTTATTTGCATAAACATTAATCTCAGTTTGTTTGACCTTACCCAAGCATCATGGTAGGTCCTTTCTTTTTCGTCACTAGCATCAGTAATAATAGTTGGTCTCTTTGATTAAAGTGACAAATCAAGATCTAGAACACCTAAGTGGAACTGGATTTGCTCACACCAATTAGAAAAATTAAGTCCATTAAATATAGGTACAAATGAGGCTTGTGAATGAGGAGAAACAAGAATAGGTATTGCAAAATATAATGCTCATATATTAATGCTTTGAGTTATAAAATTAAACACATAAAACAAATTCAAACACATAATTCAACTAAATAATATATGTATATCGGTGTTCTCCTTTGGGTGATACAATGACATATTAACAAACGTAATGATGCTAATTAAATTACAAATAATTTGATAATTATAAATGCACTAAATAGAAACATAAACTATCTTTGGACATGTAAATGAAACTAACAATACATCTCAATTACCAACAATCATTTTCATTAGTTATAAGAACAATTAATTAACCTTTGGGTGATTGTTAAATGTCTTATACCAATGAATTCAATTTACCCACAAAGAAAAAATTATAATGTCTTTTGTTGACCTCTCTTGTATTTTGATGTGCCAAAACTATCTAAAAAGTTGATTGATTACTAACCAAATATGCTAAGGTATGACACAAGTCATAACCAAGCCAAAACGACTTGTCAGGTGGTATGACCGTGCGTAAGCAAAATTTTAAAGAGGTACAATCATTCGTGATCAAGGCATGCCTATTCAATAGAAAAAAACTACCTAGATGAATGTGCCTCATTGCACGACCTTGTTCCTCATGGTCATTCATCATCCTGCCAATATGTGTGGCGCCTACATGACCATCTTGCACGACCGTTCCATTCAAGTCAAAAGTCAAGATTTTCAAATTTAGAATCCTTTGCGCTCTTGACTATTTTCTAAAGTCAATCAAGTCAAACTCATGTATCAAAAGAGGCATGACCATTCTACGTGGTGGAATGACCGTTTCTATTTGAAGAGTTTTGCAAATCAGAGTTCCAGGAAGACGTGGTTACTTCTAGAAAATCTTGTGGATTTGGAAGAGCAATTTGGGTAAGGCCGTTCTGCATAGTGGAATGACCATGCGATGTCTTCGCATGATCATATGGCGTGGTGGAACGTCCACTCCAAAAACCCTAGATTTGAGAAAATATATCTGTTGTATCAGGAACAACCATTCGCGATTATGGAATGACCGTTCCTTTGTGTCTGCAGGCTTTATCAGAATTGCATTAAATGAAGCAAGTGTTAGTGTATGCCTTAGGAACCAATCTTGTTTTCGGTTTCAGGGCATTATATCTTGTAAATACTTTTTTAAGAATGGAAGAAAGAGTTATGATTTCACTTGTTGTTTACTACTTCATTTATATTATTTATAATGCATGTGAAATGTCCAGATGATCAGATCTTTAGAAGATCAAATCATCGAAACATTCCCTATGTAAGTAATGTTATTGGGGCAATAACATTGCATAGTAGACATGCTGAATGTCTCCATTGAATATCATGTGATGGTATTACTGTGGGTGATTATAAAGTTATATCACTAGGGTATTAGCATGGATAAAAGGTTGGTGAACTGTTTATCGAATATGACCGATTACGATGAATCACATGGACATTTTGAATGTGGTCAATGACACATCGTAGGATTGTATTAGTGTACCATTAATCCTTAGACTTGAGACATCATAGTTGGACTCGACATAGGATGAACATAGTTCATATGGTGTATATACATGAGACTAGTCATGTCTTGTGTAAGAAGCCGGTTTGGTCATATGTTATTCATGTGTGAGGACAAGTGATGATCAAGATGGAATTCGTTGACTCAAAATAGTTTGGTCTCGAGTTCCCAAACGAATGTCAATAAACATTGGAAAATGGAAATCTCTGGCCAGAGTACAAAATAGTCATATGAAAATGAGTTTCATGATGACATGTTCCATTGTATTGATTGACGATTTAGATAAAGATTAAGTTAAGGGTTTTGACATACCATGAATCTATACTTAATCGGGATTGGACGATGGAGAGATTCTACTAATTAGAACGTACGATCGGGAAAAAAGGTTCATTGGAGTTTAACTCTATTGTGGCTTGGGGGGTTATGAAGCATTGTCAGATGCCTACCATGATTGGTGGGAGTTTCAATCATAAAGAGTTATGACGACATGTAACAGCCACTTTCTACTCAAATACTCATATGATTTATATAAGAAAATACATATAAAATAGCATAAGAAAATTGGGCCTAAAACTTTCTTTTTATTAAACATATATATNCTTTCCAAAATCATTCCAAACACGTTAAATTCATAAGAAAATTATTAGGAAGCGATTTTCGTGAATAAATTCATAAATTCTTTAATTATCTCAATATACTTCAATTTAATCACACATGGGGTATTTTTATCACCAAAATAGAGTCACTTTCATGACTCTAACAAAAATGAACATTAATCTAATAGAAGACATCTTCATAACACGTGAGAATATTTCTTCAAGGTTAATACCTTTTTTTCTTTGAACCCCTTCGCAACTAGCCTAGCTTTGTATCTTAGTTGTGAGGTATTTTCTTCAATCTATAATTTGAAAACCTATTTGTTCTTCAAGTAGGTAGTTTCACCAACTCATAAGTGTGATTATCACACAAGGACCTCATCTCTTTTTTATTGTCTTTGACCACTCTTGTTTTTTCTCATGTAACATCACCTCCTAGAATGTCTCTAGCTCTCCCTCATCCCTAATCATCACATATTCATGAGGAGAATACCTTTTGGAAGGTTGTCACTCTCTAATATATCTTTTTAATTCATGCTCAATCGGTGGCTCTATTGGATTTTCATCAACATGCTCTCTTGTCTCATATGATTCTGTGGGAAAATAAATAACTAGAGGAGCTTCATTAACATCATTATCATCCTTTTATACATTTTCCAGATCATAAACATGCATTGTGGGTTTAGAAACTAAATCCAAATAAGCTTGAACATAATTGGTAGACTTTTGATTTTTTTCAAACTTGTCGAAGTCTTAAATTGTTGGGTCTTCAAACAAGATTACATCTCTACTGCTAATCACTTTCTTGTCAATTGGATCCCAAAGTCTATTACAAAATCTTCATGGTCATATCCCAAGAATATGCATTGTTTTGTCTTGAATCAATCTTAATATTCTCTAGAAACATGTACAAATTAAATGCCCTACAACCAAAAACCTCAAATAACTATATGAAATATCTTTTCCTTTCCATACCTTCTATGGCACATTACCTTTTAAAGGAATTGAAGGAGAAAGATTAATCAAGTCCACATTGGTGCTCATGCCTCACCTCAAAAGGACTTTGGTAGTTTTGTACGTGAAAGCATACAATGAATTTTGTCATTGATAGCTTGAATCATTATTTTTGCAACTTCATTATGTTTTAGTGTTTATGGCACTATTTTCTCAAGCTTGATCCCATGAACTCTACAATATTACTCAAATGGACCTCTGTATTCTTCACCATTGTTTACTCGTACACATTTTAACTTCATGCAGGTTTCCCTCTCAACAGTAACATAAAAAGCTTTAAAGCAACTCAACACCTGGTTTTTAGTTTTCAAAGTAAAAGCCCACACTTTTCTTAATTGGTCATCAATAAAAGTAATAAAGCATTAAGCACCACCAAGACTCTTAGCATCATACAACAAACATCAATATGAATCAAATCTAACACATTTGATCTTCTGGTGGATAACTCTTGAATGTAAATCTATGTTGTTTATCAATTAAGCAATGAGTACATACTTGGAATTCAACATCCTTCAAGCTAGGAAGAAGTTGCTACTTGGTGAGAATTTGCATCCCATTCTCATTCAAGTGACCAAATCACATATGTCATAACTTTGTAGAAGAGTCTTCAACTAAGTTTACATCTGTAGGTTTTAGAGCTAGATTATGCTAAGAGAATGAAGGCCAAAGTGCACAGAGAATTATAGAGAAGGAAATTTTGAAATGTAAATCTGCTCTGTTTCCATTCATAAAAATATGGGTCTTTTATATACAAACTTTTCCACTGTTACAACAACTTTGCAATGGATATTTTAAACAAATACAATACTAACCATACAAATCTAACTAATGCTGGTAAATTATATCAAAAGAAGCCTATATCACCGGTTGCTATTACCTAAAACCATCACATTAATATTTCAAAAAACAAACAACTACATCATTTGAAAAATAGCCCAACACATTCAAACTTGGCACCAAAAGACAAACTTTGAGCAGCAATCTTTTCCAGTAAAATATCACAAGCTTCAACACTCCTCCTTGATATTCATGCTGGAAACTGTAAGTTTGAATCTTAATTCTTCAAACTTGGATTTGCTCAGGGATTTAGTCATTATATTAGCCTTGATCTTCTCCCTTGCAATAAACCAGCTTTGATTCATTACTTTGCTTAGCTTCTCTTACCGCATGAAACTTAATTTTGATATGTTTAGTGCGGCCATAAAGAACTAGATTTTTGGCCATTGCAATTGTTGATTGATTGTCACAATACAGCTCATTTGTTTCTTCTGTTCTTGTTTAAATCTTTCAAAATTTTCGTCAACCAATAAGTTGGTTGACGGCAGCAACATCAGAAATATATTCTACTTCTGTGGTTGATTGTGCTACAACCTTTTGCTTCTTGGATATCCAACTTATGGCCCCTGAATTCAAGTAGAAAACATAGCATGAGGTGCTCTTCATATTATCCAAAGAACCACCCCAATCACTATCAGAGTAGCCATATAAGTTGAGCTTTTTAGCTTTCCTGAACCAGATTCCCAAGTCTGCACAGCCTCTAATATATCTAAGGACTCTTTTTGTTGCTTTCAAATGCATCTCACTTGGTCCATTCATGAATCTAGAGAGAAAGCTAGCCGCATACATTATGTCAGATCTTGTTGCCGTTAAGTATAACAAATAGCCAACCATGCTTCTGTATTTTGTTTCATCCACTTTAGCTGCTTCATCCTCCTTGCATAACTTCTTATTTTGCACTAGAGGTGTGTTGATAGACTTGTAGTTTTCCATTCCAAATTTCTTAAGAAGTTCATTAGCATATTTCTTTTGGAAATGAAGATGTCATTAGGAGATTGATATACTTCCATCCCCAAGAAAAAGGTCATTTCACCCAGGTNCTAATCATCACATATTCATGAGGAGAATACCTTTTGGAAGGTTGTCACTCTCTAATATATCTTTTTAATTCATGCTCAATCGGTGGCTCTATTGGATTTTCATCAACATGCTCTCTTGTCTCATATGATTCTGTGGGAAAATAAATAACTAGAGGAGCTTCATTAACATCATTATCATCCTTTTATACATTTTCCAGATCATAAACATGCATTGTGGGTTTAGAAACTAAATCCAAATAAGCTTGAACATAATTGGTAGACTTTTGATTTTTTTCAAACTTGTCGAAGTCTTAAATTGTTGGGTCTTCAAACAAGATTACATCTCTACTGCTAATCACTTTCTTGTCAATTGGATCCCAAAGTCTATTACAAAATCTTCATGGTCATATCCCAAGAATATGCATTGTTTTGTCTTGAATCAATCTTAATATTCTCTAGAAACATGTACAAATTAAATGCCCTACAACCAAAAACCTCAAATAACTATATGAAATATCTTTTCCTTTCCATACCTTCTATGGCACATTACCTTTTAAAGGAATTGAAGGAGAAAGATTAATCAAGTCCACATTGGTGCTCATGCCTCACCTCAAAAGGACTTTGGTAGTTTTGTACGTGAAAGCATACAATGAATTTTGTCATTGATAGCTTGAATCATTATTTTTGCAACTTCATTATGTTTTAGTGTTTATGGCACTATTTTCTCAAGCTTGATCCCATGAACTCTACAATATTACTCAAATGGACCTCTGTATTCTTCACCATTGTTTACTCGTACACATTTTAACTTCATGCAGGTTTCCCTCTCAACAGTAACATAAAAAGCTTTAAAGCAACTCAACACCTGGTTTTTAGTTTTCAAAGTAAAAGCCCACACTTTTCTTAATTGGTCATCAATAAAAGTAATAAAGCATTAAGCACCACCAAGACTCTTAGCATCATACAACAAACATCAATATGAATCAAATCTAACACATTTGATCTTCTGGTGGATAACTCTTGAATGTAAATCTATGTTGTTTATCAATTAAGCAATGAGTACATACTTGGAATTCAACATCCTTCAAGCTAGGAAGAAGTTGCTACTTGGTGAGAATTTGCATCCCATTCTCATTCAAGTGACCAAATCACATATGTCATAACTTTGTAGAAGAGTCTTCAACTAAGTTTACATCTGTAGGTTTTAGAGCTAGATTATGCTAAGAGAATGAAGGCCAAAGTGCACAGAGAATTATAGAGAAGGAAATTTTGAAATGTAAATCTGCTCTGTTTCCATTCATAAAAATATGGGTCTTTTATATACAAACTTTTCCACTGTTACAACAACTTTGCAATGGATATTTTAAACAAATACAATACTAACCATACAAATCTAACTAATGCTGGTAAATTATATCAAAAGAAGCCTATATCACCGGTTGCTATTACCTAAAACCATCACATTAATATTTCAAAAAACAAACAACTACATCATTTGAAAAATAGCCCAACACATTCAAACTTGGCACCAAAAGACAAACTTTGAGCAGCAATCTTTTCCAGTAAAATATCACAAGCTTCAACACTCCTCCTTGATATTCATGCTGGAAACTGTAAGTTTGAATCTTAATTCTTCAAACTTGGATTTGCTCAGGGATTTAGTCATTATATTAGCCTTGATCTTCTCCCTTGCAATAAACCAGCTTTGATTCATTACTTTGCTTAGCTTCTCTTACCGCATGAAACTTAATTTTGATATGTTTAGTGCGGCCATAAAGAACTAGATTTTTGGCCATTGCAATTGTTGATTGATTGTCACAATACAGCTCATTTGTTTCTTCTGTTCTTGTTTAAATCTTTCAAAATTTTCGTCAACCAATAAGTTGGTTGACGGCAGCAACATCAGAAATATATTCTACTTCTGTGGTTGATTGTGCTACAACCTTTTGCTTCTTGGATATCCAACTTATGGCCCCTGAATTCAAGTAGAAAACATAGCATGAGGTGCTCTTCATATTATCCAAAGAACCACCCCAATCACTATCAGAGTAGCCATATAAGTTGAGCTTTTTAGCTTTCCTGAACCAGATTCCCAAGTCTGCACAGCCTCTAATATATCTAAGGACTCTTTTTGATGCTTTCAAATGCATCTCACTTGGTCCATTCATGAATCTAGAGAGAAAGCTAGCCGCATACATTATGTCAGATCTTGTTGCCGTTAAGTATAACAAATAGCCAACCATGCTTCTGTATTTTGTTTCATCCACTTTAGCTGCTTCATCCTCCTTGCATAACTTCTTATTTTGCACTAGAGGTGTGTTGATAGACTTGTAGTTTTCCATTCCAAATTTCTTAAGAAGTTCATTAGCATATTTCTTTTGGAAATGAAGATGTCATTAGGAGATTGATATACTTCCATCCCCAAGAAAAAAGTCATTTCACCCAGGTCAGTCATCTCAAATTCATTATGTATCTCAATCTTGAACTCATTCAGCCAAGTGGAGTTATTTCCAATCACCAGGAGATCATCAAAATATAGAGACACAATTATCATCTCATCTCCCATCTCTCTAACATGTAAAGTATGCTCATTTGGACTCCTTGCAAACCCCAAACTGATCAAGTACTCATTGATCCTGTTATACCAGGCCCTTGGAGCCTGTTTTAGGCCATACAAAGCCTTCCTCAAGAGGTACACCTTGTCTTCTTTTCCTTCAACTTCATACCCCTCAGGTTGCTCAATAAATATCTTTTCATCAAGCCACTATTTAGGAAAGCTGACTTGACATCAAGCTGGAAAATTTTCCACTTTAATTAGGCTGCAAGTGTTAGAAGAAGTCTTATTGTGTCATGCCTTGCTACTAGTGCCAAAGTATCTGAAAAATCCACTCCATATTGTTGGGCATATCCCTTTACTACAAGTCTTGCTTTATACCTATTGACTGAACCAGGATTCAATTTCTTCTTGTAAACCCACTTCACTTGGATGGGTTTCCTCCTTACTAGTTTGTCCACTAATTTCCAAGTGGCATTTTTCTCAATCATGCCTAACTTCTCTTCCATTGTTGCACTCCATTCCTTTACTTTTGCAGCTTTAGAGTAACAAGTAGGCTCCATCAAAGCCATATTACACCTCTCATATATCTTTACCAAAGGTCTTGTGCCTCTCATAGAAGCTTCTGCTTTAGAATTTGAGCTATCATTTGATGCTTCCTGGTTATCCGAGAGGTCTCTTCCTTGCTCCAGTATTCCTTTGTTTTCAACTTCATTTCTTTCCCAATTCCATAAAGAGGCTTCATTTACCTTCACATCTTGATTTACAAAGAACCTTTTTGTTTTTGGATTGTAAATCCTATATGCCTTGGACAGGTTGTTGTACCTAACCAAGAGTCCAGTTTTAGCCCTCTCATCTAATTTGTTTCTCTTGCCGCCTAGAATGTGTGCATAGCAAATGTTGCCAAACACCTTGAGATTGTCAATACTTGGCTTTACTCTATACCAAGCCTCAAATGGTGTCTTGTTGTCAAGGGCTTTAGTTGGCAACTTGTTCAGCAGATAAACTGTTGTGTTTATAGCTTCTGCCCAGAAAACTTTGGGAAGATTTTTCTCATAAAGCATGCACCTAGCCATCTCCATTACAATCTTGTTTTTTCTCACTTACATCATTTTGTGGTGGTGTGTATGGACTACTCAGTTGTTGGTTTATTCTAGCTCCCACACACAATTCTTCAAATTGATTTGAAGTGTACTCTACACCATTGTCACTTCTTATTGTCTTCAAGCTTAAACTAGTTTGGTTATCCACCATTTACTTAAACTTTTTGAACATTGCTGCCACCTCACTCTTTTGCTTCAAAAAATACGCCCAACACATCCTGGAAAAATCATCTATAAACAGGAGAAAGTACCTACTTGCTTTCAACGAAGAGACTTAAATAGGGCCACACACATTAGTGTGTATAAGCTGAAGTTTTTCAGTAGCTCTCCAAGCTTGATTTACTAGGAATGATTGCCTGCTAAGTTTGCCTAGTTGACAGACTTGGCCAACTCCTCCTTTCTCCTCAAATTCAGGCATATTTTGGACAAGGCCTTTTCTCTTCATCTCCTTGAGGCCAATACAATGAAAATGCCCAAGTCTTTTGTGCCATATTTTTGCTTCATCAAACTTGGTAGACCAAGCTTGAGAAACTGATTTCCTCCACTCTATTGGAAAACCTTTCCCTAGCATTCCTACTCTCATCAATTCATTGCCACAACTATCTACTACAATGCATGACATATTTTGGAAATGCAGAGAGTAATTCCTTTCTAGCATTTGACCCACACTTAGTAGACTTTGATGAATTTCAGGCACATAAAAAACATTTGAAATGTATTTTGTACTTGATGGAGTTGGGACAGCAACCTCACCTCTTCCCTTGACCTCTATAAATTCTCCATTTTCAATCTTAACTCTAGATTGATAAGAGTGATCAAGGTTCACAAAGCTTGTCAAGTCTAGAGTCATGTGGTTTGTATAACCACTATCAATCAACCAAACATCACCACAGGTTTTCAACTTCGAGCATGACGCCATGAAGAGTTTTTCAGCTTCTTGCTTTGGCTATTGATTCTCCACCACTTGAGCCTGTTGTTCTTGTTGGTTGCCCTTGTTTTTGTAAACTTTTTCTATGTGGCCGAATCGCTTGCATGACTTGCATTGTATGCCAGGTCTGAACCAACATCTACTTTCGGAATGATTCTTCTTTTTATAGTGTGGGCATGGAGGAAATGACCTCATTCCACCATTTTTTCCTCCTTGGAAGTTACTCTTCTCTTTTTCCTTCTTCTCACCAACATACTTCTTATTTTCCCTTTGGTATACCCTTCCTTTCTGACTTGCAACCATGGCTCCCTCACTTGAATCTTCTTGTC